AAGCAGTAAATATGATTGGCTATAAAATATACCCATGGTGGTGGGCATAATTTATCATTTATTCTGATTGGCTGACAAAAAATGACATAATTGACAGTTGTCATCCGAAGTGGATGTCATGAAAATGAGATTCTGAATGCTCCAGACCAGAGGTTTTCTTCTTGCATCGTTAAATTTAAAAAGCAAACTACGACAAAAATATGATAAATACTTAAAAACATCTATAAAAGAAGAGAAAACATCTGGAACCAGGGTAATCAAACTCTCACTTCTTGTTATTAATGTATGCAACAATCCTCTGGCAAAGTTTGATTCAGTACTTTTATCCTCACCAAACAAAGAAGGAGGGGTGTTTACAGAAGAAACACTGATAAAAGAGCCTGGTTTTTGGAGTATGAGTTCATCATTGAATTCCATTTTATTTTTTTTTAGCTAAGTAACCCACCACTTATCCCTTCTCCACCCAAAGAGAGAGTGCGAAAGAGAAAGCAGCCAATGAAACACTCCCAGACATCCCAGACCATTAACAGACTACAAACAGCAGAGGCTGTAGCAAGCATTCAAGAATTAGATGATCAACACTCACCAGAGGTAGTAGTTTTTGTATTTCATTCTGAATTACAAGACTTGTTAAAGTTATTTCCCTATTACATGTAGATCCATAATTTAGTGGTAAAAAGTGTTGACCTTTCATGACTTTTGAGGTTTTTTACAAACATTGTTCTTTGTTATTACTTTTAGGAGAACAGGGAGGATGTAAAACAAGAAAATGATCAACAGCTTCAAGAACATCTTGCACAGTTTGGCGAGTCAGAAAGTCAGCCTTTGGTCATCACACATGGACAGGCAGACCCTACGAAAAATGGTAATAACCAAATGCACAATGCACTGCAATAGTCTACCTATATCCCACATGGAGGGCAGGCCATTCGTGAAATAACCAAGTACTGCTATTGCTCTTTATTTGCTTCAAAACCTGGTGAAGCTCTACATGATGCAATATTAAAACTGAAGCCTTTTCTATTTGGGTTGGTGGGAACTAGCGGTAAACTAGYGTGAGATGYGTCAGTGTKCTAAAGAAACACTTGTGTGAAAAGATAAATTGAACACCATAAAAAAAGTAGGTGAAATGRCTTATTGACGTTTYRGMCATTAATCCTTCGTCRGAATGTTGGGTTGGGTTGTCTAAGTGGTGCCATCCATATGGTAATTCTGATATAACACATTCAAGTGTTGTCTCAGATCAATCATCTGGACAAATAGATGGCCCATATTGCACTAATAATTCATTATTATTATTAACGAGCTTTGACAAATTATTCAATGTTTGTTTGTTTTTATGCACGTTTTTCTTTATCARWCTGACAATTTGTYCATTTATCGCGTTAGTTRTCATTCTCAGGAACCCAAGTGTAATTAATCTTCCATCATCCGTTCCTCATTGTCATCCATTCCACACTGATAGTTTATTATTGGTTCATTCTCTAACTTTGTTTGTCTTTGAAAAATTTAATATGCAACTCATATAATGACTAATATTTCCAATGCATTCCAGGACAAGTTGTGATAGTTGTAACATCAAACAATGTCTTCACTACTGGACAAGAAGCAGAACCTCCAACTACATTTGCACAAATCAGCCTCCCTTCTTCACACATCACCAATTTACCATCATCGTCATTTGGGACRTTRCCGACAGGAAGTCAGGCAGTGCTAATAACCCATCCACAAGGAGAGAATGGACAGTTTTTAGCGCASACACAACACAGTAACATATTGACAGTGATGARYCCCACCATTCAGGGTATAGGCCCWAATCAAAGGGTTGTACTTCGTATGGTACCAACAACAGGAAATATACAACCAGCTACGACAGTTGATTCTCAAACAGATCCTTCAGGTATAACTTTTAAAATAAGTATTAGCTTTGTACATCATTGCTTGGTTATCAGCCAATACCAATATCTAATGAATAAACTATTTGGATTTGTATAATCTTTATGAGATTTGGATGCTACWTTTGTCTGAATRGTCTCCTTCACGGTTACCTGCGTCATCTTGAAAGGTAGCCGTGCCTTTGCATCGARGCGAGACAACCGTTGAACGTTCAATGATAGAAAACTTTTTTCACACCTATAGACAATGATTCACAGGTATCTATCATTGCATCATTGCACGCTCAACCGTCGTCTCGCTTCGATCGATGTAAGATGAYGCAGGTAACCGTGAAGGAGACTATTGTTTTAAAATACTTACCACTTGCGGGTATCCTGTGTTTTTTGCTGAAACAATGAAAGCTGCCGTACAGTCAAGAGACTCCATTTTACGAAGTGCAAACAAGCTAATTTGCAACA